TGAAATAAACTATTTAGAACTGTTGAAAATTATAGCCGTTACTAATATTTCATCAGTACTATCACAATCACCGGCTCAGTGGTCTAGAGGTTAAGCGTACGCGCGCGAGACCGATAGGTTCTGGGTTCAAATCTCGCGAGGCAGGATCGTGGATGCGCACTGTTACAGAGTCCCACACTAGGATGAAACGGCCATCCAGTGTTTTCATGGTAGCCTAGCTTCAATTGATTCATGATTTCAACTATTGAAATCACAATTTAAACTATTGTCAAATTAGAAGCAGTTTTATCGAAGAAAGAAAAAAGACAATTGAGAACAGACAAAGACAAACGGAATTATGACCTGTATTAACAAACAAAAACGCACATTTTCTTCCTCTAGCTCTCTCTGTCCCCCCAACTATATAGAAATAACTGTTTTCGATTGTTTATACGTGTTTGATACAGAAAAAAAAGTATTTTCGAGAATATAGACTAGTACGTTTTGTACATAACAGGGTATTTTAACAATATTGTTAAGACATGAGTTTTTCATAACAATTGAATAATAATGCAAACACTGATTGGTTAATTTAAACAAAGTGAATCGGTTAGTCACCTATTAGTCACATTTCACTGTTGTCCTATTCAAGTTTTAAACTTGTTTTCATTCCATAGAATATACCTAATATATATATATATAAATTTATTTACTCATATCGTTTGTTTTTCTTTAAATTTGGTAATTTATTTGTTTTGAAGTAGGATAAACTTAAATGTTTAGAAATAAACAATTAACAGTAGTTTCAGTAGTTGAGATCATGAGTTAATTGAAGCTAGACAGCCGTGGAAAACCTGAAAGCACTGAACGGCCGTTTCGTCCTATCGTGGGACTACTCAACAGTGTGCATCCATGATCACGTTTCACGAGATTCGAACCCAGGACCTATCAGTTTCGTGCGCGAGTGCTTAACCTCTACACCACTGAGCTGACCAGCATCCGATGGTGTTAATGTTTAACTTCAACTAATCTACGAAATTCAGTGACACATCCACCTTTGTCATCAGTGAGTTACTATCTCACAACAGACCCAATTGAACTCCACTAGTCACAGTTTCTCACTAGAACTCCAGGATATCTTCAGCAGTGCGTATCTACAATCCCGCCTCGCGAGATTCGAACCCAGGATTTATCGGTCTATAATATCCACAAACCCCCTCTCAAGTTGTACTTGTTATATAAAAAATCTAAGCTCCAGATAAATCGCTTTCGTTTCTTGAACTAATAATCACTTGTCAATAAGTGTTTATATTTTCATTATTATAATGTTCATTAGTTAGTGAACTTTCATCTAACCTATATATACGTTGATATTTCGTTGTCTAGGGTGTGTCAAGAAGATGATAGAGAAGAAGGAACGTGAGATCACCACACAGTAAACATAAAAGATATACTCTGATTTATTGAGGAATATAATCAATAAGTTAATGACGTACAGTGATGGATTCATAATAATCTGATAATCATAACTATAAACATAGAGAATAAAGTTTCCGTTTCATTATACAGGCTTTGTTTGCTGCTGAAAAATTTTCCTAGCGTTTACATGTTTTTGAAGTTTTTTTTAGGATTAAATATGATGCGTGTGGTTACTGCTCAAAGTAGGACGCTCTCTATGTTCTGCAATACAACCTGGTAGTGAAAGCTGTCGGATTCCACCAAGAATATTAACATTGATAGTAGTGAACATAGCTTTGAAAATCCTAATTAAGTCATGAAATGAAAAGTATCAGATAACATTAAAGCCCATAATTTAAACGAAATTAACAAATAAATGTATCTGTTCACTGTCACCAACTTCGACTAATGTCATCTATGGTCGTCAATCATCAAATACGATTACCTTCTGGACTTCGATAAAAGCTTACATTTCCTGAAGCGACACAATCAAACAGCCAATATCACTATAGATTAGTGTTATGTTTTTATTGAACGTGACACGACTAGCTATTTCCAAAATTCATCCTATACTATTCATTAAAGGCAGTAGCTGTGAATTCGTAAAATACACATTAAACACCTCGATCAATGAAGTTTCACAGCCTTATCACCGTGAATTTCATGTTTTTATGGTCAAACAGTAATATATTGAGGGTTTTCCTATTTTCCAATCTAGATCAATCAAATAGGATTAATAAATCACTTGATAAATAAGGATTAGATTATTTAGTCTGACAAAATTCACTAATCGTTTGGTTTTGATAAGTGAATTCAAAAGACCTAATTAACTAGTGGAAAGAAATCAAAAAATACCTATTAATGATAATCCCAATCAAATAATTTTACAGTTCCATTGATTGTTTTGCTTAGGGATTGGATTAATTTTTGATTTTTTTTCTAAGAAAAGTGATGATCTAACGTTATTTGAAGAAGTTATTTATTTATTTGAACACATAGATAATGGTATAAGGGGGCCACACCCGGGACCTTCGATCTAAAGGTCTGGTCCATAAGGCAGTAGAGCAACGTCAGGAGATGCAGTCCCATGGTAGCCAGTGACCAACAAGAGGTTCATACACTTTTTGTTTCCTCAGGATACTGGAGCCCATGTACATCACTGGTTTGGAATCAGGGTTTTCTAACTCCCCTAAGAGGACTCTCCGTGTCCACCAACCCGGTTAAAGTGCCGGAAATTCGCTTTTCGTCCTCTCAATTTCGTAAACAACACCCCCGCCACAAGAAGGCAGCGAGTAGGACTTCCCTGGCAGAGGCTATATACGCGTGGCCGGGATCCAATGGTGATATTGTTTAACATCAACCAATCCACGAAGTTGCGCGACCATATTCCATTGTACTGAGGTAGATACCTGTCTCTATCCGACACGGAATAACTCCACTGGTCACGGCTTCTCACGAAACGACCGTGGATTGGTTGATGTTAGACACTATCACCATTAGATGCCGGTTCAGTGGTCCAGTAGGTTAAGCGTTCGCGAGCGAGCGGGATCGTGGATGCGCACTCTTAAAAATTGTTGGCTAACATCAAGATCAATACCATAGGAAAATTAAAATAAAAAGATGACACTACTTGCTAGTAGTTAGCAATAATACTAATAAATTTGGATTAATTGTAAATACAGAAAACATTCGTTCATTAAAATTTAATGAATAACATGACTATCAATGAAGTTAAGTATTTAAGGATGAGTTCCATGTAAATAAAGCAAGTAATCCATGAAGGTTAATTTTAATCACCTATGAACTAAGGTGCGAAATATTTACGAAACTCGGACAATGTCTACACTGCTACACGACATTAAAATCTTCCCATGTAATCACAACTTTCGTATTACAGTAAGCAGGGAAATAAAGAGACCAATATTTTACATAAAGTTGTAGAAACTATAAGCATATGTGGTCTGTTTGGCAGTCACGTAGAGATACTATCAATAGCTAACATAAGTTCATTTATTTTAAATGCACATCTATGTACCCAGTACAATGAGTCTTAGTTATTTTGCAGTCCAAGTCTCGCGACAACTTATTCTACTGATCAACTACTTGAGTAGTCAGGACGTTACTCGTAACCAAAAATTGAGCTAACTTATGTGAATCATGACCTTAGTGAAGTGGGATAACAAGAAATCCTATTAATTCTTTTCACTAGCTTCTTCAGATGCAGCAAAAGCAAGACTTGACTGATTACTAGAATACATGCGATCATTACCCTTCTGTAAGTGATCACGTATATTAAATAGAGCACGATACCAAAATAGGAATGTTTTGCTACCCTTAAGTCCCGCTCAACCACAAAATTCATAATGTGAGATTCATCTGTAACATAACGTTAGTCATGAATGGCAGTTAGCAAAGATATGTACAATGAAACGACTACCCGCCTATTGTCTAAAGTGTACACAATTCAGCCCGATAAAATTTGCTGCAAAAGTTTGGGAGAAGTACAACAATATTCCCCAGTGTTTATATCTTGATTTTCTTAAATCTATAGCTGTTGTCTACTATAGTGACAAAATTGTTTAGTTCCAAACATTTGATGGTTCGCCTTTTGTTACCTAATTCAACTAGTTTCTTACACACTAAATTATTATTATTTGGACCGATGTAATTATCTGGCTGATTTGGTGCATATTAGGCTTCACGTAAGCGATAATTTAAACTTTTCCCAAGAATTCTCCTCATATGGTGTCTCCACTAACCATAAGGTTTTACCTTTGACTGGTCTGCATACAAACTACACGGAAACGGAAACAATCAGCATATCAACTTATTGTCACATCAATTACAAGAAATACATCGACTGAATATATTGTCCGTTCAAAACAGTAGTAGCCCTTTAAGTATAGAGTTACAGGGTCAAATTTTGTTTTATTTACTCTGACTTAAGCAGTCGAACAGTTCATTGGCCTAAACACTTAAATTGTGACGAGTGGACAAAGTTATTTTATTACTGGGTTGGAACAACTCGACTGGAGAGAAGGGGCATCATAGTTATGTGTAGATTTTGAGTATTAACAAAACTTAAACGAACTAGCGACATATGATAGTAGTATAAACCTATATATAAATTGGAATCCCCGTCAACCAATAGAAGTGATCAACATACTAGACGAGTGAGCTATAAAATCGGAGTGATTTGAAAAAATACTGCTAGATAACGGATTTCACAGGGATGATCAGACGAAAACTCAATCAACCAGTTTCGAAGAAACTAGTGTACAGAAACTAAAGAACCTTGTTTGGAAACGACATAGTTCAAAAGATTTTCTAAATGGTGCGTTGTTTGACTACCGATAAACAGCATGAACTTCAGTATGGAGAGCATCATTAGACTAAATCTTGAAATAAGCATTACATTTTCAAGTGTAAATACATGCTTAGTTATATAAGCTTGTCTAGAGAGCGACTGAATCATCCATAGACAAAGATCAGCAAGACATCTTCACTTTGAAAGACAAACTATAGGTGGATCTAAATCGCCAGAATAGATTAAAAGCCTATGATTTTTATAAAACAAATAAAGTTTATTGGTATGTATAATGTGGTATGATACATATTTTTGGAGGAAGTGTTAAAGAAAATATATAAACACTAAGACTTAGGAGAAATGTGTCATTTCAAACTGGCATACTTCACATAATTATTAGGAAGTTAACGAGATAGAAAGCAAAACGGAAAATAATGGTATCAACAGTTTCAGAAAACTTATAGAGGAAGTCAGAATAAACTACTGAAATGAACAATTAGGGATAATCCTGTGTATATTACTAAAAGGAAGACGAAAGTGAATACATGAAGATCACTGTTACCTATTTTGAGGCATATTACTTTATGCTTATAAATAATCGATTACAATTACGTTGCGTACCCAAACCAAGAAAGTCTTCAAGTATTGGACTAATGATCGCACATTACGAGCAATATATTGGCTCAACTGCCATTAACCTTTCTCCAACCCACTCCCACCCTAGTTAGCTTAAAACACTTAGGTAGTAGATAGGACAAATGAGAAAGAATCGTAAGAAGTCAGAATAAAAATAGAAGATAGCTAAGTGATATGTTTGGTGGAATGAAAGCAATCAATGAAAATCAGCAAAGGAATAAAATACTAGTTAATTACATACATTCCTTTTTCTACTTGATCACATATGGTTTTTATTTGATTAGCGAAGAATTCGTAATTAAAAGGTTGGTTCCGAGCATAAAAGGGATTTTTCAACACAAAATCTGTATAAGCCTCGTACACCCTGCGGAGAGCCTCGCGAGAAGCCACTGGTAATTTAACATCAGTAACAAGTAAGAATTTAACACCTGTATGGGTTTCCAAACAATGAACACGGCAGCATTCCGTTTCCAAAGTTTGGATACCAGAATTCCAAACTCGTGGAGCCTTTTTATCATTAGCCGGAGCGACAAAGCTGGAGTTGGAATCCGGAATTGGGGAAAGAAGTCGGGCCATTGAGTGTAATGGATGGAACATACTAGCAAGGTGAATTCGGTCATTTGGACGTAGTCGAGGTCTCCCAAGTTTGATAGTCAGTGGAAAGTTGTCTTTATCTGAAAAAACCTCCAAACAGAAAATCATGGATTATCAGCTTCTCAAACGGTAAACCTCAGTATAAAAAAGTGGTTACCAGAAATTATACCTGGCAGTATGCTTGGAAGTAGATATTATCAGCAGACAAAATTAATACCTAGCTACAAGTTCCCATCGAATTATTAGTACCATAAACATTGGAAAGACCATGTTTTTGGATCTTGGTTTACAACCGATTAACAACGTACTATCTATATATTTATTAGATACATCAATAACAAATTTGACTTGTATCTTAGGTTAGTGTGAATGAAATGATGGTTTTTAAGTTGAAGAACTGCGGAGGATCCACCTAAGGGAGTTGGAAAACTCTGATTCCAAACTAATGGTACACGTGGGATCCAGGATCTTGATAGGACAAAACGGCATATGACCTTATTGTTGACCACTGACTACCATGGGACTGCATTTCCTAAAGTTGACCCACTGTCTTGTGAATTAGACATTTAGGTCAAAGGCTCCGAGTATCATCCCCCAAGAAAGCCAACTGCTTCGGTTTGGGCACCCGGGCAGTATCCCAGCCCCCACATGACTCGAATGATTTGTGAGGTACATATATATTTAGTGCCACCTAGTGTAGATGTTTATATATTTAAATAAATAAACAAATAAATAATAAATTAAGTCATTAATTGGACACAGAGTAGTGAACTGAGCTAGTGGTTGAAAGCTTTGCCACTTTTTGATGGGTAGGTTATACACCCAAAGATAATTAATTGTACTCTCTGGAGGTTCGGGAAGCGGGAAGTGCATGGAAATATAATGGTGGGCAGTATAGAAATAGGGAAAATTAGAGAATGTACGCTCTCTGATCGTTTAATGGTACGCTTCAGTCAAGAGCGTCTTGAAATTCTTGAATCGATTGGGCACTAAATATGGCAAGGAAACAAATCAATTTGAGTCCATAACTGAAACCAGTGCCTAGTGGAGAACCGCAAGGTTCTGTCCTAGGTCATTTACTCTTTGAACTGTATGTAAATGAACTCCCAAGTATAATTGAGTCTCCGATGCTACTATATGCTGATGCGAAAATCTGGTGGGAAATAATAGGAGACACAGATGCACGCGCGCTTTAGGCAGACCTAGATATTCTGATTAGCTGGTCAAAAAATAGCTGATGCCTATCAACGCAGCCAAGTGTGTCTACATGCACTTTGAGGATAAAAACGTAGGTACTGTATAGTCGTACCCGTGGTCTGATCTCACAAGGATCATGGGGTGACTGAATCATGATCTTAAGACCACGACCCACTGTCGGGAGATTGCAGCTAAGAGGCTTAGAACCCTGTGGACTTTCAGACGAACATTCACAAAGTTAGATACTACTATGTTCACTACAGTATACACAACCTTAGCGAGAATTAAACTTGAAAACTGAGTTCAGGCTGCAAGCCCCTGTTTTGGTGACTCGAACATCCTGGAGGATGTATAGAGGGCAGCTACCAGTGCAACTCCAGAACTTTGGAGTTTACCACAGAAAGAGTGGCTTGAAAAGCTAGACCTCTTTACTTTATCCTACCGTAGATTGAGGTGATCCGATTTTGATGTGCAGAACACTAATAAATGATTGTGGACCTAATATACACTCTATTTTTTTCCTGCCGGATCGGGACAACTCAGATGACGTAGCAGGCGAGTAGAAAAGCCAAAAAACGAACGAAATACTCGTGGTATACAGGTTATGACACCGAGTCACCGATTCTTGAAACCTGAGGCAGTGGTGTCCGCACCTCCTAATGACTTATTCAAGAGAAGGCTGGACACTCACAAAATCATACTAAAAAAAAGAATAACATAGGCCGTAGAACTTCTGTTCTTACTACACAAACCTGAAATCTGGAACATAAGGTGAAATAGTATAAGCTTTTGATGCATTTAAAAGTTTTCGGCATTACTCACGATTTGCGTTATGAGACCTATATCAGATTTAGTGCGTCAACAGTAGGTATAGTGAAGTGGGCATACAAATAAAACTAGTATCTTCAGATGTAGGACACCTACTTCTAAGGATCAGTAGTGATTACTTGCTTTCAGTTTGTATAATCAAAAACTACTTGAACTTTACGTTTAAATTGCCTTAAAAAATCACATGAATGATTACCCTGTGCTAGCTTTAGTCGACTCGAAATAATTATGAAGTGAACATATTGCATAAAACAAATGAATGCCAAGATTACTTACTTTCAAAATATCCCTGTTATCTTCCAGAGATGTGCCTTTAGCTGTAATGCCGTCAACAGATATCACAGTATACCCTATCTTTACATCGTCACATGCACCAAAATCTACGACAATACGACCATCCATAGCTTTGAAATGGAACGGAAGTGGGAAATCGTATTTCTTTTCTACTTCCACGTTAACATCAGAATGATCATAATAAAACTGTAGTGAGCCAGATTCACTTATCACATAAATGCCGTATACACTCATTTTTGTGCTAAGCTTGATTCAGACTTAGAAAATTAGGGATGACAAGGGAGGAAGCATGTACACATATACACCAGATTCGTGATATGAATTTCAATTTTATTTATGATCGAATACAAGGCTTGAAGACAGGTCAGTTTTTTCAGACGAATTTGTCTTGTTATCTGAAAGGGATTTAACGTGCTAGGTCTCCGAGACCACAATAAAAAAGACGTGTTATTGATGCTAGACTTCCAAAATAACCTTGAATTTAAATCGTTGACGGTAATTTCTTTAAGATCACTCTTGGTCGTAATGATACATAATACTGGATTGTAATAGTGCTTCGTATCCTAGATATGTATTATTACTTACTTACTTACGCCTGTTCAAATGGTTCAAATGGTTGTGGACGGAATAGAAGAAGCTTTCGCTTAACAGGCTTCCGTGTCTAGTAGCAGGGGATCACCAAATCCTCCAGGCAGGAACCTAGGTATGTTAACAATAAAAGAGGAAAAGAAATTGGTAAATCATAGTGCGATGCTGTCCTTGGTCCTTAAGAATAGGTCAAGTTGCCTCTTGAAGGACTCCTGAGAAGTCGCTTGGACTAGCTCGGCCGGCAGCGAGTTCCAGCTTTTGACAACTCTTAAGGAGTAGAAGTTGTGTCTACATTCCGTCTTGCTATGTTGTGTTTCCAGTTTCTGGGTGTTACCCCTTAGGTTATTGTTCGAACTAAGCTTAAGTAGGTGTTTAAGAGGATGTCCAGAAGTGTTAAGAATACTATAAGCCATTAATAAATCACCTCTAAGACGCCTATATTCTAGTGGGTAAAGGTCTAGTGAACGGAGGCGTTCTTCGTAAGGCTTGGATTTGAGTCCTCGAACTGATTTCGTGGCTCGCCGTTGGATACGCTCCAAAGTGACCTTATCCTTGTGGAGTGAGGGGGGGAGTACTATGTTTCCGTACTCTAAATGGGGACGGATGAAACTATTGAAGATTGTGTGGAAAGTTCTTCCGTCAAACTGGCCAAAAATGCGCCTCAACGTTACCAGTGCAAGGTTTGCTCGGAAGGCATTTTTGTCACAGTTAGCGTAAGACTTTAAGTCATGGGGCACCAGGACTCCTAAATCTTTTTCGACTTGGGATACTACTAGACAGGAGTTTCCTAAGTTGTAACTGTAGTTTGCGACATGTCGCAGATGGACTACTTTACACCTAGAAGTGTTAAAGGTAAGTCCGTTATCGTCTGCCCAACTTTGAAGTCGAGTCAGATCCTCTTGAAGTGCCTGTATATCGTCTTGGTTGCGTATCTCTCTCCAAAGTTTCACGTCGTCGGCAAAAAGTAATAAGTCTGACGTTACCTGTTGAGGAAGATCGTTTATGTAGATCAAGAAGAGAAGAGGCCCTAGTAATGAGCCCTGGAGGACCCCACTAGGACATTCCATAGCTTGAGATAAAGTGAAATTAACCCTAACCTTAAAGTGTCGATTTTTTAGGTATGAAGTAAGCCAGTCGATTAAAGGTGGTTTGATACCTAGTCGTTTGAGCTTGTTGACAAGACACAAGTGGTTAACCTTATCAAAAGCTTTTGAGAAATCAAGGTAAATGACATCAACTTTTCCCTTGCGATCGAGGATGCTTGTCCATCTGTCCACCGCAGTCAGCAGGTTGGTTATACAAGAGTAACCCTTCCTGAAACCATGCTGTTGGGGTGAGAAGAAATTTAAGGACAGTAGGTAGTCATTTAAACCGTCGCATATCAGGGACTCCATGAGTTTTGAAGGTAATGACAGAAGAGCCACCGGCCGATAACTTGAAGGTTCATTGCGTCGACCACCTTTGAAAATTGGTGTGATGTGAGCCAACTTCCAATTTTCCGGTAGTTTGCCTCGGCTAAGCGAATGTGAAAACATCACGCTAAGCGGCGTTGCCAGGATTGAGGCTGCCTCCCTCAGTATGGCAGGATGAACCATATCCGGGCCAGGAGAAGTGTCAAGTCTTAAGTGCTGCAGTTTCCGGAACACCAAGTCAGCGCTTAGGTCCACTTCAGAAAGTCCTGTGGAATTGCAGATGAAACTGTCATGAGTAAAGTTGATATCAGCCGGTTGAAATGTTTGAGAGTAATGGGCCGCCAGAAGGTTAGCGGCGTCGCCATCGTTGTTGGTCGGGCCGTTAGGACCTACCAGTTGAGAAACTCCTGTTTTGGCTTGACGAAGAGAGGCTGCATAACGGAATAGGCTTCTAGGGTTAGAGGCGAATTTGTCCATAAGCTTTGTTTGGTACTGAAGCCTGTCTTCTCTTATAGCCTTCGTGCATGTGTTCCTGATATGTTTATATTGCCTATACGCTCCATCGTTATTAGTTCGTTTGTATTCCGCCCAACAGTGCCGTTTGCGGCTTAGGAGGCGAAGGGTACGGTTCTTGATTACTGTAGGTGGCTTGAAGCTTTTGGGAACCGTTTGAGGAACTGAATGGTCTGTAGCACATAAGAGCGTGTGCAGCAAGAAGTCCCAATGACCATCCACATCGATTTGAGGGTGAACATCCCAAACCACCTGTTGTAGATGGTCATGTAGAGCTCGCACATTCAGCCGTTTAAAATTCCATCGCAAATTATTGTTGGGATACCTTAGCTTAGTTTTGATGACAAAACTGAAGGCTATGACGGCATGATCGCTTTTTCCCAGAGGAGCCAGGATTGAGAGGTTGTCGACTAGGAATTCTTCGTTAGTGAATACACAGTCTAAGCGCGATGGTGTCTGACTGTTTCTCCAACGAGTTGCCGACCTCACATTTTCATATAAGCCCAAGTTATCGATGAGGTTGAAGAACCGAGCTTCAGTTGAGTTGTCGCCTCCAGTGTACGTGTGTTCCGCGAAGTTGACTCTAGGGAGATTAAAGTCCCCTAGAATCAGGATGTGTGTGAAACCGAGACGGATAGAGCGGGATAGTCCTTCCAGCATACGACTATCGTACTCGGTGTCGGCAGTTGGCTTCCTGTAAATGACTCCGACTAGACACCTGGAAGTACTAGACAACCTTACAGAGCACCATATGGATTCCTCAAGATTGTTAAACTCGAGGTTGTGAACCTGGTGCACCTCCAAGCAAGAGCTTATGTATATGGCTACTCCGCCTCCAATTCCTATTTTTCTGTCGTTGCGGAACAAAGTCATCCCAGGCAATGCTAACTCTTGATCCGAGAACTGAGAAGATATCCAGGTTTCAGATATTCCTATCAGATGGGCCTTGTTAGCGTTGCTAAGTTCACGTAGTTCATCCAGTTTGTTTGGTAAACTCGCGGCGTTCATATATAAGCAGTTTATGCTTTCAATTTGGAACGCATGAGCTTCGTCCTGTTTTTCTGTATGAACCTTATGTGAATGGACAGGTAGCCCACCTATATGAGGTTTGCCGAGGTGGTAGGCCCTGTCCTTTACACGTTTTTTTTATCGTTTAGACAGTCCACAAGTGGAATGGTCAGCTCCAACTTGCCTTTGTTCTTGGTCCTGACTTCGTATGGCCTATCCGGGTGCATGTGGATTCCAGGTGGCAATCGACTCCTAATGGAGTATAAACCGCCAACTAGCATTTTCCAACCCACTCTGTCCTCCACCTTCTTTTCTAGTTCCATCCAATTCTTGTTCATTTTTCTCATGTCTATCTCCATTTCCCGGCGTAATGTGTTCTTTGGTCTTCCTCTCCTCCTTTGACCTTGAGGATTCCATGTGAGGGCGTCTTGTGACGCGGTTGGGTGCTTTCCTCAATGTATGTCCTATCCACTTCCAGCGCTTCTTCCTGATTTCTTCCTCCCCTGAAATCTGGTTTGTTCTCTCCCATAGTAGATTATTGCTAATAGTGTCTGGCCAACGGATCTGAAGTATTTTTCGTAGAAAACTGTTAATAATCACCTGTATTTTCTGGATGATGACTTTCGTAGTTCTCCAGGTTTCTGCCCCATACAGTAGATCTGTCTTGACATTTGTATTGAAAATCCTGACCTTGGTGTTGGTTGACAGTTGTTTTGAGTTCCAGATATTCCTCAGTTGTAAATATGCTGCTCTTGCTTTTCCGATCCGCGCCTTCATATCTGCATCAGATCCACCCTGTTCATCAATGATGCTGCCCAAGTAAGTAAAGGTCTTTACATCTCCCGAATCGTCTCCGTCAATTGTGATTGGATTGGTGCATGCTGTGTTGTATAGGAGAATCTTGCTTTTCCCTTTGTGTATATTGAGACCTACTGCTGCTGAGGCTGCTGCCACACTGTTCGTCTTCTCCTGCATTTGTTGTTGCGTTTGGGATAGAAGGGCCAGATCATCTGCGAAGTCTAGATCGTCCAACTGCATCCTAGATGTCCATTGTATCCCATGCTTCCCCTCACATGTTGACGTCTTCATGATCCAGTCGATCACCAAGAGAAAGAGAAAGGGTGAGAGTAAGCAACCTTGCCTAACACCGGTCTTCACTTCGAACGACTTTGTCAACTGTCCTCCATGCACAATTTTGCAGTGTAATCCATCATATGAGTTCTGTATGATATTGACTATCTTCTGAGGCACGCCGTAGTGTCGAACAAGTTTCCATAATGTTGTTCTATCCACGCTATCAAATGCTTTTTCGTAGTCAATGAAGTTGATGTAGAGTGATGAATTCCATCCAATCGATTGTTTCACAATGATCCGTAGAGTTGCGATTTGGTCTGTACACGATCTATTCTTACGGAATGCTGCCTGTTGGTCACGAAGTTGGGCGTCTACGCAGTCCTTCATCCTGTTTAACAATACCCTGTTGAAGACTTTTCCCGGTATTAAGAGAAGTGATGCCCCTGTAGTTATCACACTTGCTGAGATCGCCCTTCTTCGGTATTTTGATCAGGAGTCCATCTTTTTCAGTTTGTTGGTACTTGTTCCTCATCCCAAATCTTATTGAAGAGAATGTGGAGTATCCTTGCAGTTACCGCTACGTCTGCTTTTAGTGCCTCTGCTGTAATGTTGTCTGGTCCTTCTGCTTTGCCACTCTTGATTTGTCTGATGGCCATGCTTATCTCTTCAATTGTTGGTGGGCCAACATCGATTGGGAGGTCAGTGGGTGCTGCTTCGATGTTGGGTGGGTTCAGTGGGGCTGGTCGATTCAAGAGTTTTTCGAAGTGTTCTACCCACCTGTTTTGTTGCTCTTCAATGTTGGTGATTACCTCACCTTCCTTACTTTTCACTGGTCGTTCTGGTTTGCGGCGATTTCCAGAGAGTTTCTTTGTTATGTCATACAGTTGTCTCATGTTT